GATTAATATTCATAAAGCCATTAATTTTGATATCATATATGTACAAATACTACAAAAAATAATTAAAAAATCTCAATTTCACAATTCATAAAATACATCACATATCAAATAAAGGAAAAATGAAAAAAGAGAGAGAAAAATAAAAAAGAAGAAAAGGTTACGTACCCCATTTGGGTGGCGTATCTGAATTTTTATAAGATTCCTTACTTGCATGATTTCCACAATTAAGATACCATCGAGATATAATGTCTGTCAAATTACAAATATTGAGTTTAATATTTTTACAATATTGAGTTTAATAGTTTAAACATTAGAAAGACACATGTGAATAAATATACGTACTGCTTCAATTGGATAAGTAATTTTTAATAAATCTCTAATATAAGCTAAATAATCAAATTCCTACGATGCTTTTTCACTTGCCATTTCTTTTCGTTGAGCGTTAGACCCTATGCAATATTTTTGCGTTTTTTTTTTGTATGCAATCGCACCGGCTTTCTCTCACATTTGATTCCGTCTACTGTGATCCTGCACACCCCATGACTCATTATATATATCATCTAGTTTCTTTGTCCCTTTTGTCGAAATCAGAGCATCATCATAAGTCTCCCCAAATCGCAATTTGTTTATAGCAGCCGAATTATCGGAGCTTCTTTCTTAACACGTCGCGACACGCTGATAATATTATGCGATGCGGATCACTATACTGCGCTTTACAAAATGTATTTAAATTGTTTAATTGGTGATCAGATAATCATGAATAAAATAAATAAATATGATATACGAATTATGTTTTTTTTATTCCTTTCCATTGCGTTGATAATATTCTAACGATCGATGTACTGCTTCTTAGCGCTGCGAGAAGTTTTTATTTTGCCGAAGTGACTCATCGCGCGTCGGGCAGGAATGTAGGTTAGTGTGTCGGTCATGCACAAGGAAATTGCATCACGATTTAAAAAGTGAAAACTTTTTTTTATTCATATTTTTTATATGACACTTTACATTTTTTTTTCATATTTTTTATTCATATATTTTTATTTACATGATTTGTTTGATACAAATATTTAATAATTGATTAATTGATTAATTGATTGCTTAATAAATTGATGAATTGATTGATTAATTAATTAATTAATTGACTGATTAATTGATTAATTGATACCAAGGCGCTCTCTTCTTTTTTTTTCTTTTTCATACGCGGCTGATGAAACAGTACCACATTTTCTATAATACTTTCGATGATTGCAAGAGAACAATTCATCATCATCATCATCATCATCATCATTGAATACATTATAACAATCGTTTTCATGGAAGTTTATCATGTACTGCTGTTGTCTAATGATGTCGATCGGTTTGTCCTTTGCATAGAGGACTTCTATTAATAAGTTGTATGCAATTTCTCGGTAGTGATGATATACACATGCCTTCAACAATATTTTGGGTGAAATCCAAAATTGAAGTGGGAATCGAAGGCTGCGTCTCTTTAGATTGTTGGAAGTCAGGGTGTAATGTCTTCTTAAAAAATAATCTATCACGTTCACTGGTGAATAAGCCGTCACATTCCGTAGTGGAGAAGATGTTAATTCTTCGAGTGGATGGCACCTCATCATTATCGATTAATCTCGTATCACATTATTGACAACGACTCGATATCTTAGAAGTTCTCGCCATTGTAACGCAACAAAATTTTTTTGGAATATTATCCCTATATAAAAAAAGATTCAAAAAAACTATGAGTCATCATATATATATACCTCATTATATTTTATAATATATAAAATATCATAACTAACCTTCTTATCAATATGGACAGAAGTGAAGCACTGTTATAAATATCAATCAATGCGATTTGCACTTTGCGTTTTTGTATACAATCACGTTTTTTGTATGCATGTCAGCTTTTTCTCTCACATTTGATTCCGTTTGCTGTAATCCTGCACACCTCATGATCCATTTTTATATATATATATATATATATATATTAT